AATTCTTATGGTTTTAGTGCGCGGAGTCGCGTAGCTTACGAATTGCCCCGCGATTCTCGTCGGAATTTGTATACGAATCTCGAAAACTCTTTATTACGATACCGAGAAACCTCCTTCGCGACGCGGTTAATTCGATCCCGTAGCGTTAAAAATACTAGCTTCAGAAATACTTCATTGTTATCTATGAATACAAGTTTACAACTGTAATAGTTTCCGATCCACTGATCCACTGAGGTACAATTTTTCTGAAATTTTCCACAGGCAATTCCCAATTCGATAAATTTAATCGCTCATGGTTTATTAATTTTCGTTATAATAAACATTACACCGACGCGGTAATTGCATTAAAATTTTAAAACAAAATTGCAGAGTATATTCACCGAAATTGATATGTATTATGAAACAAATGCACAATCAATAACACCATGAATAATTTATATTTTTTCAGAAGAAATCATTATTGCATTTTGCATTGGAAATTTCGGGAAACCATTTCTGGCTACACGGTATATTTTCGGTAAAGAATTTTTTCCTCGAAAATGGGTAGCATTTCGAGGGTGTGTCTCTTCACCAAAAATGATTGTAATTGACTCCCGAAACCAAAAATAATTTTTTCAGAATGATTTGAAATTTATTAATTTCGCCGAAAAATTTAGGCACATACTGAATTTTTTTCTCGAAAGTGGATAGGATTTCGAGGGTATGTCTATTCACCAAAAATGATTGTAATTGACTCCCGAAACCAAAAATAATTTTTTCAGAATGATTTGAAATTTATTAATTTCGCCGAAAAATTTAGGCACCTACTGAATTTTTTTCTCGAAAGTGAATAGGATTTCGAGGGTATGTCTATTCACCAAAACTGATTGTAATTGACTCCCGAAATCGAAAATAATTTTTTTAGAATGATTTGAAATTTTTTAATTTTGCCGAAAAATTTGTCCACCTTCCTGAATTTTTTTCTCGAAACTGAGTAGGAATTCGAGGGTATGTCTATTGACCAAAAATAATTGTAATTGACCCCTGCAACCGAAAATAATTTTTTTTAAATGATTTGAAAGTTTTGAAAAATTTGAAACTGTATGCATACGGGGGTACTCCTACGTACCCTTTGAAAACTAATTATAGTGTGCGTCGCGTAAATGGCTTCGGGATACGTAAATTTCTATTGTCGAGTGTGGCAGTAAGATGGTAATTTGGAGGTTCTTAAACCTTCATACTATTAATATTCGAAAAGAATAAGCTGGTCGACAATAACAAAATTCGGGAGGTAGAAATAACATCGAGCACCTGGCCGTGAATTGTTCGTCCCAAATTAAAAACGAGAACGATACGGCGCGGACGAGCGGGTAAAATACATATTTACGGGGGGGCGTCTCGACGGTCGATTCTGAACCGTCGCCGCGATAAAAGGGGGAAAAAGAGTTAAGAAGTGTCCCCGGGGCGAGACAAGGAAGAGTCCTCGGGGATCCCGTCTAGCCCAGAACCGTTTCTCGTGGACACAAGCTTTCCCGAGACGTCTCGTCCGTCTCTCGTTTCCTCCAGCCCCCTCGTGTTTCGTCTTTTTCCACGCCTGGGGCCACGTGTACTCGGCGCAACGACAACACTCGGTGGTCAACTTGTTTCCGCGCTTTGCGGAAACGACCGGTTCACCGGAAGGCAGCCGACGACGCCTCGACGCTCTCTCGTTTCGCGTGAAATATTAAAGGCTCGTCGCCGTTGGAACGTTCCACGAAACGATGGACGCGATAATCTACGGGGCGGTCGTTTCAAACGCGCCACGGGAAACGCCTCCACGCTCACGGAATAAACGATTCCCGGGCCTTTGTGACACCGTCGACGAATCGCTCGTAATCTTGATCCCTCGACGCCGCGAGCAACGGCGAAGGAAATCCGATTGGATTTGATTTCGTCGGCCGTGGAAAATTCGAGCTAATGGGAATTTTATTTGGAGAAAAATAAGTCCTCTAGGTTTTTTTCCTTCCCCAAACCCTTAGACGATCGAGTAATTTTATTTCACGCGAGGCATTCGATGGGATCTATACTATTTTAACCATTAATAAAGCCATCTTTCTCTTCCAGTTACATTCTTTGAAACAAAGATATAAAACATTACAATCAGCAAGTAAATTATTCGTAGAATTTCGTTCGTAACGATTCCATTGAATGTTTTTGACGTAACCGACGATGATTATTTCATGAAATTTCGTTTGTTTTGATAGCCAGTCAGCCTCTATTTAACAATGCTAACACGATTTCAATTAAGCCGATTAAATGAGCTGTCGAAATTTGGATATACAGCCAATGGGAGCTAATTGGCCCTTCGGATTCGGACTGGGCATAGAATACGATCGATAGGGAATCGATGGTTTTGCGTTCTAACGTTTCGGGGCGGCGGGGTCTTAACGTTACCGCGTTATAATAATTTTCGTACAGTTTCGAAAGTAGATTTGCCCCGCGTGGTAATTCGAAATCGACGGTAGGATCCGCGGCGCGCAACAATGCAAAGAAAGTTAAGAAAGTTCACGGGACGTGTAACGTCTCGACGAACAGCTTTGTATAGGTGTACGTATCGGGAAACACATTTTCCAAACTCGCAAACTAGTTCACCGCCATTGCGTTTCAAGGTACACGCCGAGTCGTTGCTAATCACGGTTTATCACCCTCGCTGGTAACTTCGAAATAAGTTTTCGGATAATGTCTTTGTTAACACGAAAACTTAACCGCGTTGATTCCGTGTTTGCGCACTCGATTGTGCCGAATTTTCCGGAAGACGAGAACGACGGAAACACCGAGTTCGAACAACGATAATTACGAATCCTGAACATTTTCAACTTCTATTTACGCAACGAGATCACATAAAAACATATATTATCAAGCAATAATGAAGTATCATTTCTGTAGATCGATTATTGGAAAATTCATTCGTTAGGAACGTTTTTTTTCTCTATGATTTCCGATAATCGACCTCCTACTGGTATTTGGTACGTATTGATATTGCATACTTTGCAAACGTGCCTTAAAATGTATTCATAGAAACTTTAAACGCGAACGTTACGGATAATTTTAAATTGTTCTGTCGCCAGTCCGGATCGGGTTTCGATTTTAGTTGTTTTAGAATGCTTTTCGTTTCGCCTCTATTTTCAATTAGTTTTAATTTTGAATAGCCAGAATTGGGTTGTTTGGCACACGAAACTTGCTATACGAATGCCCAGGGTAGCCGAGTTTGGCGTAGATTATTTGCGCGCAAGTACAAACTCAACGACGACTAGTTTCCTATAACTTTATTCTACAAACGAACACAAGTACCTCAAACTTGCTGCGCGCCTGTTGAATCGAATATTAGACTATCAAATGTTCAATGGAGTTTTCGAGGATTGGATTCAGAATTGCGTTTTGTTTATCCATAAAATTGCACACGGAGAGCTGAATTTTAATAATTTACTCACGTACCCTTTCTCCAAAGTATCGCGTATAAAATCGCGTTGCGAATTAATTTACTATCAACTTAATTTATTATCGTTCTTTTCTCTAATTGTACACGGTCATTAATTATCGATATATATAAATGCATTTGTCAGTGTTCATTCGTGTCCCATGCACCGTGCTCGTTTGATTCGATGTCTGTGAAACCTCTATTCAGAGTTTCAACAAATAGTTAACTTTCCGTCTCATTGTTTCACGATCCAATAAAATGGAGTTCGCTGCATTTCAGGATGTTAATGAATAATACTCGTATAGAAACACCTATGATATATCGCGCTCTTTTGGTTCGGGAATTACCCCTTGTCTTTCCGTTTGTGTCACGGCGGCGCACCGCAGAATATCTTCCGTAATTTTATATGCATGTACCTGTGTAACCGCGATCAAGACGTCGGTTCATTTTTCACGCGGAACAATGGGGAGAAAATAACGGAAAAAGAGCCACAGTCCCGGGCTATTCGAGGAAAACAGAAAAGAAACTCTCGCGTTTACTTGAAATATATGTAAAACGAGACAGAATCACAAGTTTCAAATGTAATTGAACAAAGAGGCGAGTCGATAGCAATTAAAAATGTGAACACGAGCGTGTACGATTACCGAGAACCGTAGCGATTAATTTATTATTTCTTCGAAAGTGGAAAGCGAAGATTTCTCGAAGAGGTCAGTTATTTTTATACTACAGGGAATAATCGTTAGACAAGGTACAAACTAAAAATAGTTTAGTGGTTCGTTAAAAACTTGGGGAATAAAGACGTTGAAAGAGATTTTTTTTTGTTTTCTTTACTGACTCGATTTTCCGTCGAAAAGCATAAAGAATTTGTTTAAAAAAAAACTTCCTTGTATCTTCGATAATTTCCAAGATAGCGTTATGTGGCGAAACTTTGGAGAGCAGTCTCGCCCTTTACACTTTAGTCACCACCGCTAAAGAACCGTGTATCCCTTATTTTTTGCCGCTCCATAAACCTGCAAAGTTTCATAAAAATCGGGGAGAAACACTTCGTGGATGTTCCTTGTTAGTGCCTCTGAATGAAATTACATGCTTTTACAATTTCTGAGCTGAAAAATTGCTTAAAAAGAAGTGTTTCCGCTAGAAAAATTATTTATGGCACCGGAGCTCTTTGTAAGAGAAGGATGCTGACAGGGACGAATCTTTTTTAAGTAATTGCAAAAAGTTGCCCGAAGGGAAGGGATGTTTTCCTTGCGTAATTATAAAAATCCTTTTAATTATTTTTAAACGCGTCGTTCGATGCTCGCCTTTCGAAGTTGCATTAATATTTAACGTTTCGGATGAATTTAAATGCTGCATGTTCGAGTCCGCGTTCCTGTCAATTTTTTTGTTATTTAATTATTCAACTCCCTTTACGTTCCGCTGGTTTATATCCAAGGTACCGATTTCCGTTTAAAATCGATGATCGTATAATAATAGCTCCGGATATTCCAGAAACAACGCGAGTCGGATCGGTCGAAAATATACTGCAAGGTCTGCAAGTTAAACGAAAGAATTATCGATCACTTACATATGACGATGAGGTGAGCGTTGGCACGGATCGGTTTGGTACGTAAAAATGGTCCAACTTGGCACTGGTATTCGCCATCATCCATCACAGAAGCATTGGTAATTCTCAGGTTGTAGATACCGGCGTTTTGATCTCCTATTAGTCTCAATCTCGGGTGTCCAACAATTTCTCCGGCTGCAACACAAGTACACAGAATGTAGATTTTATTTATTTAATCAAATATTATTGTATTATATTCGAGGGACTCGAGACTTCGACGCGAAGAGCAATAGACTCGTTTTCTGCATTTGTTTATTTTAATTTAATATAACCGTTCATAAAAGAAAGTAGAAATATTCTTTGTTTAAAAACAAATCGAAAATGTGGAACGACATTTTTTCGTACGAGGTTTCGTTTTTAAGAAAGTCGACTTTCGGCTAACGCGTCTGACTAATGCTCGGTATTTCTACTTGATTTCGTGTTTGTTTATAATTACAAATTTTCTATGCGGTGTTTTCCATAAATTTTACTACTTTCCAAGTAGTTAGACCCATTTTAAACAAATTATATTACACAACCGTAAGAAATACATATTACGAATACCAATTCTAGTAGAAATAACGAGCAATGGTCAAACAGGTCAGTAAAGTTATGATCAATCGCTCGACGAGTTTTTAGATGTAATTATTTCTGGAAGCGGATTCTCGATTTAATTTTACACGATTACTTGTCTCTGTTCCCAGAATTTTGGTTTATATTAAAATAATTTCGAGAACATTAAATGCCATTTTAGTATCGAAAATTCATTCTGTAGTTCCAACTTTGGTTAATTTCTTCTTTACGAGACATTCATCGACAATTGCTTGAAATAATGAGATATTACTTTATTCTATCCTTCTTCGAGTATCATTCGACGAAGTTTACGCGAATATTGAAGGATGCTACGTATCGCTAAAATTTCGCATTTGTAGCATGTCGTACCAGGAGCTCATTTTTCGCATTTAACGAGGGATGAAGTCGTTGTCCAAAGCCCCGATTAATGAGAAAATAGCAGAAAAGAACAATCGTGGACTTACATTCAACTCTGATCCTTTTATGACAAAAACAAGGGTTGTTACAGTCATAACGAGAACAATTGAAAGAGGATATTACTTTAGCCGAGACGCGTCTGCAGAATTTCACGTAAAACCGTTGTACACTTTTGTTCATTTAATTTTTATACCAACTTCGCCTTTGTTAATTCAACCGTTTCGAAGACGATCGACGAAGATGCGACAATAAATGTTTTTAAAAGACGACCGGTACGAGTCCTTCGTTCCATTTAAATTTTATTTTTGTAAAATATTCGAAATAATATTATCTTCCAGCTTCTTCGTCTTAGAAAATTTTATTTCTCTCAGAATTCTGTTTGCGACAAATCGATAGAATTTGTATAGTTTAGTTCGAACGGATTCAGGGAGTGCCAGCGATGATAAGTTTTAACAGCGACGCGAAACATTGTGATCTTTTAATATCCGTGGGGTTGTAAATGCTCGAGGTAAAAGGTTCCAGAGAAAAATCATAACTGCGATGCATTAAGGTAGTATCGTAACTCAAAGACACACCGTAAACTAAACGAACGTAGCTTCTATAAAGGGTGAAGGCACATGTTTGCCAGGAAATACTGCAACGTGCTGCCATTTGCTTTTCGATAAGAGCAGTGATGTATGCAAAATCGATAGAGCGGACGGTTTCATCGCAGTCATTACCTTCTGTCAACCTTGCCTTTTACTAAAAATTTACTTCGCCACGGCAAACGGTCGTTAATCGAACTGCTAACTATCTGCCCTGTGTGCCCGGTAATCAACCAATCGACGCGAATAAATCAAGTATTTGGATACTACGTGCAATTTTAATGGTTTCGTAATGGTTGGGTCTGGAGATCATTTTGAACCAATAACTTATAAGGTAAACTCGTTAATAAATTGGTACGTCTTTGTGAAAGCCTGAAACGGTAGTAATTTTCTAATTGATGCGCGCACGAAAGGACTCGAAAGCACATCGTATTTGTTAGAGAGACAAACTGACGCAGCGTTACAAATAAGGATCGAGTACGATTCATGGTGGACGGAATGGCCTTGAGCGTCCAATTTATTTAGCTTCGGCCACGGAGTGGATGTGGTGTATCGGAGACAGTGAAAATGATCGGTCTTTGGTCAGACACGTTTCGCGACCAACGCAATGGGAACTTCTTTGTAATCTAGAACTCCATTATTCACGCGTTGCTGAAATTAACGACAGCTTTAAATATAAATACTACAAATTTCAGACATTTTTAAGAACGTATATTACGAATAAAAATGTACAAAAGTGTCAGCTAAAATATATTTTTGGTTAGTTATCTCAAGTACCGATGAAATTATACTCTCGGTTGTTATTTTGGGCATCTTGGAGAGCACCTAATTATACGCTGCACGACGTTAGAAAATTTAGGTCATGGAGTGGTGAAAAAGTGCGGCTAATAAAGGTTTCGATGGTCGAGGGTCTAATTATTCTTCTTTTATGTCACTGTCGTTCTCGTACGAGGTCGTCGGTGATTCCGAATGCGAATCAAATAATGCGACGAGACCTGAAAACCGTGACACTGACGAGGGAGGCTTTTGTGGTTCCGTGACGCTTTTGTGAAAAATATGGCGACGTCACGCCACAGTCCCCGAAGAGGGATTAAACCGTTTTAAAATATCGAGCAGAAGAGAAAGTGAGATAGTTCCGCTCCATTAATATTGCGAGTACTAATGACCCTCTTTAAGGGAGAGAGACGAAGTTATTAAATGAACTTTTCAAGATTCCCTAATAAGAAGCGGGGAATCCGAGGGATATTCTTGCTGGTTTCACTAAATCTGCATTCCACTTCAACCATCATGGAAGTAGGAAAGTTGATAATTACTTGCGATTCATACAAAATTATCGAAACCATTTCGAACTCGGTCTAATGATACTTGCCAAATTATTCGATACGAAATACGATGGAATCTTTTTAGGAAAGTCTCTTATTTCCTTATAAAATTTTGAAAACTTAAAAAAATTGATATTCTTCTGTTGCATTTAATTTTTAAACGATTCCAATTTGGTCTATAAACGCAATTTCACAGATAAAAAATTATTTTTAGCCACAGAGCATTGCAAATGTAAACTCGTCTTATAAAGAAAAAAATACTCGTCACTCTGCCATTCAAAACGTTTTCTCAAATCTTGCGAAAATTTTCGATTTAGCTTCGTTTCGTATGCATCAATCAGCGAAACTCGTTGAAACATTTATCGGTTAATAAAGCCAGTAAATAAGCATAGCGCGAGTTAAATGACTTATGTACGGACGATGTGCTCTGTGCAGCATTGAAACGGTTCTCTGGGGTTGTCTGAGACACCAAGTTGAGCCCGTGAGTTATTAAAAAGGGTAGAAAGCAAAGTTAACCGCGTAATTTATGTTTGATCACCGACGGGGAATCTCCGGGACGTGTATTTGTTTAATGTGTTTGGTCAACTGCTCACAATTTACTGAAATACGCGTTTGCACGGACGTTCGCAACTATCTGATACTGACATTGATGTTCACCTATCGGCCAATATCCGTGACATGTTGGTTGATCTTTCGTGGATGATTGATGCTTCTATATGCTCGCCAGCGGTGCTTCCATAGGGTAGAGAAGTTTGCATAATTTTCTCTGACAATGAATATATTGTGCTAGGATATTTGGAAACGATTATGTATAACTGTTCAAAAGTCTCGGCGGAACTCTGACGAACGCAACCGCGCCGATCGCGCTCGAGAACTTCGCTGGTCGAATTTTGCATTGACCATAAGCGGAAACGATGCCACCAACAGGCAACGAACAGGCTCGCGTACTTGAGAACTCGAGAAAAAAAAATAGTTTGGAACACTTGGCGCGAGCGGCTTATAGTTCATTCGTAACGCAAACCCATTTTTCGTTGGTGTCATAATACTGGATGAGAGGATGAATCGCCCCTCGAAAAATATGCAGATCTCTTTCATCTCGTGGAATAATCCCCAACGAGTGGAATATCTCTGATAAGTGATAGTGAAAAAACGTTTATACAAAAGTTGCGTCTACAAAGCTGCGCGCAAATAATTATCGAAAGCTGCCGCTGAAAAACAACTACTTGTTGGCGGAGTTATAGATGTGAAAGAGGGTGCAACTTTTGTTGAAACTTGTTTTCGACATCACGGGGGGATATTCCACGAGTTAGAAAAATATGGGTTTTCATCCAGGGGCGATTTCATCCTTTCAAAATTTTGTTACGAAACCCGCGATAAAGAGATTTCGAACGAACCAGTTATCTACAAATTTTGAACTACCATTTTCGCTGCAATTATGGCTACTTGTTCGATAAAATTTAAAGTTTAAGTAATAAATAAATAATCGATGCACTTACTTTGTTGTATGACGTAAGCAAAGCCATCTTTAACCCACTGCACAATGCCGACTCTGTTTCCTACCTCGCAAGGTATCGTTACTTCACCACCTTCCACGACCGAGCTGTTTCGTGGCCTGACTCGAAAGTACTGGCCTCCTTCACCTGAAACACAGTTGCAGATAACAATTAAAATTAATACCGCAAAGATAGCTGCAATAAGCAGTTAGGCACTTAACGACCGCGTACGAATTAACTTTGGGCGCCCAGTCGCTAGATAATCAAGCGAAATTATGCTCAGTGTCTACAACAAAAAGTATAATATGGAATTTTGGAACAAAAATTTTTAAATATATTTTCGTTTCGGTAATTCTAGAAATTTGATTTTTCTCCGAATTCTAAATATTTTTTGCTTCGTTTGATAATAGCTAGATAATGTATTTAACGAAACAAAATATTCTGGGCAATATTTTCGACGTTGCGAGTTTACAGTTTTTATACGAAGTTCGTGAAAATACGTTTGCGTCAAATTTCAAACAAAAACGGAAGAATATTTTAGTTTATGGCCGGAAAGTATTCGCGAGCGCAGCGACATCGCTTCAGCGAAATGAAGCCGTAAAAGCGCAAGTAAACATGGCGATGTTGAATCCAGAGAAATGTTCGCGAGAGCACTGTGCCCCTTGCAATGTAAACATTTAAAGGATATCGAATATAAAAGAAGAGAAAGTTTTTAATGGCACGGCGCGCGTTGCAAGTCAGACTCATCGAGATGGAAACACAAACGGATATCAAAAGACACAGAATAAAAGAATAAAATTACCGCACGGAAGTTCGCAATTAATTCTGTAAAGTTTCTCGACCTATTCCTCACGAAGACTCTACAACAGATCGGGGACGAAGAAACACTTGAATCCATTCGATAGTTTCGAAAGAACATTATGTGAAACAAGGGTTATTGCAATGCACAAAGAAAAATTGAAAATATTATCAGACACTTTTAACAACCCAGTGCAATTGTTAGATCGTAGCGTTTTAAACAGACGCAACTCAGCAAATATTATTAACTATACTCTGATGTAAAGTTTCACTTAACAGATTCACCGTCAGATCAAAACCGTACAATATTCTGCAAGACTTTCATTCTCATTGTAAACTATATAACCTAAAATTTGTTCCAGTACCTATTTTTGTAACCTTGCTAAGATCCACAAATCCTATCCAAATTAGTCCCCTCGACATCTCAACCTGAGAATTAATTTTTCTAAAAAGTGTTAAGAAGTGATACAGGAAAAGAATTATTTAAAAATATGAAAAAACGCAAAAGTTATGAGGTTTTCTCGGCGCTCTCGTATACTTTGCATTCGTGAGAAGTTGGCAAGCGGGATTCGTTTGCTCCGCCCATGCCCACCTTCGTCGTACAACGCATCGTCGTTTCGACCAATAGCGTGTACCCTAAACTCTAAACTAGAGTGGGGAACCAATCAGACCCGCGTTCCTTTCGCTTTCCAACTTCTCGCGTCGTTCAGCTATCGCTCAGCACTTTCGTTGCGGATCTTTCGTGCGCAACCGACAACAGCGACAAGATGAAAGACAAAATCTCGGGGGGTAAGATCGATGTAATCCGTTTGTTTCTCGCCGATAGAATCGATGCTCGCGTTGCTCGGTCGGTTTTGCTCGTCCGTAGACACGGCTACACAGAGCGCCAGCGTCTGTGTAAATGCGGCGAGGTAACATCGTTTGCCTTTGTACACCCGTTCGCGTTGGTGGTCACCTGCTGCTCGAATTTGCACTGTCCAGTCTAAATACAGCGCCGATGAAATATACAGGCGTGCGCGCCTGTTTCGCTGCTCGCCAGCCGGCAAACAACTGCCTCTTGTATTCGATCGCATGACGTGCCTTTAACCAGATAGATAATTAACGGGTCTGCGGATGCAAAGGCATCTCGTGATGTTCTGGGAAAGAATTGTGTACCGTAACATCGATCTATCCGGTTCCCATTACGCTACGCGACGATGTCGGACGACACGATATCGCAAATCGATGAACATATCCGATCGAGCACGTTGAACGGTTCAATTTTAACTGTTCGAGTGTGAGGGTTAATTTCAAAAACTATACTGTTGCTTTATGTCGTGGAAACCAACAGCATTTGGAGATGAAATTTAATTCGTGGAGAATAGTGCAACGTCTCTGTGCGTTATTTAATTTAAAGAAGGCTATTATATTAGCCTTCGTTTTTGAGAAACTACACTTTCCTTAAAAGGAAAGAGGTTAGTTTAAAAATGAACTTCGAACGTCCAGGAAGAATATAATAATTATCAAAAGTCGCGATAGTGTCGGAGAAACGTCGCGTGACGAGAATCCGTGCTTAAAGAGACATCTAATTGAGCGTGCCGGAAGAGCTTCGAAGAGCGTTCGAAAGATCCGTCGCGAGTATGAAAATTCTAACGAATTTCGTGGGCGGGACGAGCTCAAAGGGAAAGTTTCGTTGGGAGAAAAAAAAAACACGTTTAGCAGTCTCGAAGCGTTCGAGAGAAAGAAGTTTGAACGTTTCCGAAGGATATCAAAACAAACATTCCGAGCACGTTAAATCTCCCGGCGAACGTTTATCGTTCATTCAAACGCTTTTAGAGCGGCATTTATGTACTCAAATTATTTCAAAACGAAAACTTCGGAGTTTAAAAGCTTTCGAGAAAATCTCTGCACGCATCAAAGAGTTCGCGGTTCGTTTGCCTCGTTCGTACGAATCGCACGAATTACATCGTTTATCCGATCGATAGCGTTTAATTTGTCGGTCGGCGGAGCGCCGAGACGACGGAATAAAAGTTTCGCTCGTTGTGATATAAAAAAAAAAAAAAAAAAAAAAAAAATCGCGGGGAAACGTTTGGCGGCGATACCAGTGACGGGGGCGAAAATATGTACGTATAATGTAAAAAATCTTCGTTTCCGTTGGGATACATCGAAGTGCTTTTTGCAACAGTTGGGAAATCTTTTATGAACGTAAAAGCTCATCGCTGTAATCGAATTGCTATCGGGCTGAATGCAGTAAGGCTTGATTTAACAAGTGAAGTGAAATAGGGCGGTTACGGTACGGACACAGAACGTTCGCGATATGTTCCATTATTCCGTGCGTTGGAACGGACTGGATCGCGAACGCTATACGTGCCAATTCTATTGCACTATGCGTAAAATAGGGGCTCGTCGATACTAAAATAGGCGTTCAATTACATTGTACGAAGAGGCACGCAGATAAACATGGTAAAATAGGTAACACGGCTATCGGGTATGCCAAACAAAATAAACAAACTGAATGTTCAACGAATAAAATAGGCAAAATATTTGGACACATAGAAGCGTATTAAACGAGTTCAATATTAATAAAGGGAATTTTATTTGCCCTGTTGGAATCGAAAGGGAAATTGTATGAGATTTTGCTACGATAAGAGTATACAGTTTGGAAGACTGTGTTTCGTTCCTGATTTATTAGTGGGGCTCGTTAATAAGAAATTTTAAGAGAATACCCATTTAATGGTCATCGTGTACAGGCAAAATGGATAAAATATGTGCGCAGATATACCAAATAAAGTAAAAAAACCAGATGTACATATATAAAGAAATTGAGATGTATCAGGTCAACTATGTAATTTCGAAGATGTTAAATAAAATAGGCAATTTGGCTAATACAAATGAAACGTTTAATTGAAATCAATTTGGTATGCATCGCGAAATCGTGCGGTACTTGAATCGAGGCCAGACTTAACATCCACAGTTAGCCAAATATTGCACAGATTTCAGTGCTAGAAGAGTCCTCCAAGAATCGAGGATCCTAAATGAACGTAATCCTCTCATTTCAATATTGATACAATAATCCATACAAATCATTTAACACTACAGCCCTCAAAATTTTCGATCGATCTTGTTCCCGAAAGATGAACGAAACATTAGAAACTAAACATAGTTTGTTGATAGGATTATTATTACACGTTTAATCTCTGCGACGTAACTATCGGTAATATCCTCGTTTAAATATTTGTCGTTAAAGGGAAAGGAACGTTTCGTCGTTCTAGCGTCAAATTTTCAAAGTCGATAAATTTCCATTAAAACTGTCTTGTCTATTAAAAATTCCCGCAACAAAGGATCGATCAACTAGCGCGATTTCGAGTTAATTTCACCCGCGGTACGCGTTAAAAAAAAACTATCATCGCGAGGTCTATCCGCGAACTGGTGGAAACGAGAAAAAACGAGAAGCACAGAGCGCGTGTCATCTTCCATTTTTTCCCCTCGTTTTATCGCGGTACAAAGGGAAAGATTACCCGAAGCGTAGGGGAAATTTCGCGATGCTCGCCAATAACTCGATTACGTCGTTTCCATAGAACAGAGGCGGCCATTAACGAGTCAGAATTCATTTGACACTAACTGATTGGTTTCTATAATATACATATTTTTGGCCCACTATGCGACTGGACACGGCGTCGATGCGCAAATCCATCGAATGAATTACACGATTATCGGCTTTGTGACTTTTTATTACGTAGCTTGATCGCGATGCAAAGCTTTCGCGAATGGCCCCCATCGTTTTAATAATCGCGTCGTTTACACGTCCGTCTCGTTCTCTATTGACGAGAGTTCGCGCGAGGATTAAGTCGGTGATGTCCATTATTCTTCGAAAGTCCGGCTGAAATTTTGTTTAATGGAACCGTTTAACGAACGAGGATGATGCGATTAAGCGTCGACCATCCCTTCTCTCTGTAAACGATCGCGGGATGGACAGTTCTTCCAACATGACGCAAACTTTCAGGGATATCTCAATCAACCCTTAGATAATCGCGCCATATTCATGTGCAATTATAATAATTTTAAAAGTGAGAAATATGTTCACAAATATATAACTAAAGACACATTTAATTTATCCTTCGAAAATATCATTGGTAATTTTGCATATTCGAGCGGATATACAATGTGTTAAACGCGTAAAGCGCCACGGAAGATCTACCATCAGCCCTCTGCCTAAATTATTTAATAACAGTCAATTTAAATTACGAGGGGAAAATTGAAAGTGTCCCCCTAATTTGTTGATGAAATTTTTTTAAGATGTTTGCGAGGGGATCCTTAATAAAGTTACAAAGTAACTCAACACGGCCCCTCCAAGTTTATAAATTGAAAAT